GGTGGCCATCCTGGGCACACCAGCTGAAGGCTGTGACAGAACCCCTCCTTTAAGGAGTGTATTCCAGACGCTCCAACAAAAGAAATCCTGGAGGGAGGCGGAACGGAGGTGGATCAGGGGGAGCGATGGCAGGCCAGGCCCGTGTAGTGGAAGAGGGCCTGGACAAAGAGGGCGGGGCTGGCAGAGCAGGAGGCCAGGGCGGAGCGTAAGCCCACCAGGTCGGAGCCGGAGGGACAGACCAGCGAGGCTCCAGCCAAACAGGAACCCTGGAGGACCAAAAGGGTGGGACCGGAGGAACTGACCAATTAGGCTCCAGCCAAACAGCAACCCCAGCGGGTGACCAGGGCAGAGCCAGGAGCTTTGCAGGCAGCAAGGGCAGATCCGATGACCACCTCAGCAGAGTTAATAAAGCAGATGACTCCCCTGGTGGCTCAGGCAGGACTGCAATGAAGAGGACAGAGAGTTTATTGACAGCCTTGATGGCCGTAACAGGACCAGCAGACAGTTTAGCAACAGTCTCCTTGGCTGGAACAAGACAGACTGAGAGTTCAGGAGTGGGTGCCACCGCCCAGAGAGGAGCTGAAGTGGATGCTGCCACCTCAGGAGGCTCTGTAGCAGAAGTTGCCACCTCGGGGGGAACTGGAGCAGGCTCAAGAGTGGACTCTAAGGGCTCCCGGACTGGAGCGGGTTTATGAGTGGACTCTGAAGCAGCCCATGCCCGCAGAACAGCCATGAGGTGAAAGACAAAGACGAGAATTGAGACCACCGGAGTCGGGTCCTCCAGGACCACCGGATTTGTGACCACCGGAGTCGGGTCCTCCAGGACCACCGGACCTGTGACCACCGGAGTCAGGTCCTCCAGGACCACCGGACTTGGGACTATCGGAGTCAAATCCTAACTGGAGCAGGCTCAAGAGTGGACTCTAAGGGCTCCCGGACTGGAGCGGGTTTATGAGTGGACTCTGAAGCAGCCCATGCCCGCAGAACAGCCATGAGGTGAAAGACAAAGACGGCCTTCTTGATTATGGCAGCAGCAGTGAGATCGTGCAGCTCTGTGGTGACCTCTGAGATCACCGGAGTCCGGTCCTCCAGGACCACCAGAATTGAGACCACCGGAGTCGGGTCCTCCAGGACCACCGGATTTGTGACCACCGGAGTCGGGTCCTCCAGGACCACCGGACCTGTGACCACCGGAGTCAGGTCCTCCAGGACCACCGGACTTGGGACTATCGGAGTCAAATCCTCCAGAACCACCAGACTTGAAACCACCAGAGTCAGATCCTCTAGGACCACCAGACTTGAGACCCCCGGAGAGATGCCAGCTGCTCGCACTGACATCAGTTGTGGGTCCGCCAAACTGGACACCAGCTTCAAACGCCCTGGGCCAACCTTTCTGACTTCATGCAGCACGTTCATAATACCCAAGAACACTGAAGTGGTATCCATGACGGCTGAAGACTCTGGTGTGGAGGCCATGATGGCTGGAGACTCTGGACTAGCGGCCATCCTGTGAAGAGACTCTGGACTTGCAGCGATCTTATAGTGGGGCTCTGGGCTGGTGGCCATCTTATGAAGAGCCTCTGGTGTGGTGGTCATGTTGTGAAAAGGCACCCCATGAGAAGGCACCTCTCTTTGCAGTGCTCACTGCATTCCACTGTGGATGAGGTACTCCACAAACCCCTCAAAAGATAAATGTTTGCATCCCAACATCCTCCAGTGACTAATAGGCTCATCAAGGGCATAGTTAAATAAGTTCTTTAGAGCAGAGCCATTGTAGCCCAGCCCCTCTGCAGCATTCCTAAACTCCATGGCAAACTCCCTCAGATCAGTCCCTCTTTGACAGAGGGAGCTCAAGGCATTGAGCTGGAGCATGCGCTGGTAGAGGGGGCTAGAGAGAGTGGAGACAGGTGAATGGTAGTGATGTTACGTTCAACACCGAAGCTTCGAAGCTTGTATCAAAGAAACAACACATTTCACATTAAAGCACTGTATCAGAGCTTGATTCGTTTTGAGAAAATCATGTGCTCTATGATGTCCGAAGCTTCATTCACCTGAAAACCACGTGACTGCTTTAGTATCTGGTTCAAATGAAGCGAACCTCAGCACTGTTTCCTTTACATTATATTACATTATAATGTGTTAGCATTGTTTGTTTTTTTTGTTAATCGTAATCTATATATTGAGCTCAAAAATGAACTTTGGCCATAAAATATCAGTCTAAGGGCTGAGACAGAGTTAAAATAAACAGATCATAGATTTATGAATTTATGATCTGTTTATTTTATGAATCATTTATGAATTTATGCTTTATTTTACTTATTTTAGTGCACCGACACAAATGAGTGACTTTGACAATAAACATTTGTATAAAATATAATACAACAAAAAAAATCAGTTGTAGAACCAGATGTGAAACCACTGGCTGTAATGGAACATAACACTTTGGAAGGTGTTATTTATTTTTATGACCACTAGATGGCCACAGCATAAACCGTTTTAAAAAGCTTTGAGTAATGAACCTTTTTCCGATATAATTGTGATGAAAGCTTCACTGGTTCAGAACGCTTCACTTCGACATCACTAGTGGATGGCGCAAGCCCTTCTTCCACCGAGTCCTGAGTCTACAGGCAGACATACCACACACAACGTAAAAAACTGACGAAAAGCAACAGATCAGCACAGGACTGCAAACACCAGGAGATTAAATAGGGAAACAAACGAGGAGGGTAACACGGGAGACACAGGTGGAGCAACTTAAACAGTAATGAGGTAACAAGATGGGCTGGGTCAGACAATAGACAGGAGAGAGAGCACATGGCACCAAACAAACACAACACAAGCCATGTGCTCACAGAAAAACACAGTGTCATCTGGTGGCCATCCTGGGCACACCAGCTGAAGGCTGTGACAGAAGGAATATTACGTTCCTTGTATTTGCCTGTTGGTTACACCACATGACATTTTTTAGAAACTTCTTTTGAAAATGGAAAACATTTTTCAAACCCATATGAAACCAACATGAACACAAGTAAATTAATTCAGTATATTTCTAAGTACTTAGCACATTTAACAATGGTTTCCACTTTTGTGTTATTGACAATCTGTACTGTATGTCCTCTTAGTGTCCAAATTTGCTTTTCATACAAATAAATGACAGTACTCAATTTAATATTCCAGTACAGACGTTCTAATCTACATCACATTTTTAATAACTTTTAATATTTTTATTAAATAGTAAATAGGAACATAATTTCAGGGGCAAAAAGGGGCTTCACAGTAATTCCGAAAACCAGTGATGTATTTGCCCTCAAGTTAATCTGGTGTTGCTAAGATCATTGTGTGGGGACAAAAATCACTAATGTGATTTAACATCTCAATTGTTTCTACTAAACATGAGATTAAATGAAGGTTAATTGGAGAAATGTTTTTCTTCAAGTTTCCAAAAACTTAGTAGGAACTCCATTAAACCTCTTGAGCTGTGAAAGAGGAATTGTGAGCAATAAAAAATGTTTCTAAAAATGTGCGCGTTTATGATTAAGGTAAAGTTGATTTCCCTCACTTAGACAGAGTCTTCCCATTGTCGTATTTACTAAACAACTCTTAAGCATTTTTCAGATTGTGCAGAATCTATTTACAAGTGCATATTTGTGATATCTTCTGCCTCAGACTTGTCTTGTAGCATTCAAATATTGTGAACTTTTCACCCTATGTGATGTCAAAATCAGAAAAGTTGTCAGAAAAAGTGTTCTCTGTAAATTATTCATCACTTTGAATGTATCACATTTGAACTCAAGCACCGCAAATGCATTCATGTTTTTTTTTTCTGTCATTTTCCATCATGCAACAAAAATGGTAGCAGTGTCATCTCGACTCTTAGTCTCACCTCATCACGGATGTTCCATATGCATATCGACAATGAAAGGTTGTATATGATTATTATTCAGCTGGGTCTGTAAAGAAGTCTATACAGATGGCGCATGCTATAAAATATGTCCGTTACGCTCCTCATCAAGGCGATGTTTATGGCAGGCGGCTTGCAAAGCAGAAGGTCAGGCATAATGAAAGTATTAAGCTTATGCATTCAAACATGAGCAAACTTTAAATCCTGAACAAAGAGAAGTCGTCGTATTTCACCTATAAACTCACTAGGCATTAAAGGGATAGTTCACCTAAAAATAGACGTTCTTGTGATGTAGGTCTTTCTTTATTCTGTGGAACATAAGGAGAGTTTAAGCAAAGTTCTAGTCGCTCATTTCACAGTATTTACAATGAATGGGACTGGGTTCAATGTTCAAAGTCATATATTCAAAGAGGCACAATGACTTAATTTGAGAAAACATCCTTATTCAATGATATTCTTACCTTTCAGTGAGCAATTAACAGTAGCAACCTGATTATTTATTCAATGAATTTCAAAGGAGGCTGAATCAGTTGAAGAATAAAATCAGACCGATTTATGAACAAATCATTTCGATTGTTTCTGTGAACTCGATTCTTTGAAGAAGACTCAAAATGAACAATTCATAAAGTGGAAAAACACTGCTTCTCTCATGAACTCTTATGAACATGACTTATGAAGTTTAAATTATGAGTAAAATCTACTTTAGACATTTAGTGTATTCTTGTAATTTAGTAACTAAGTCATATTGACTACTTTTATGATACCTTATGGTGCTTTTACATTCTGTCTTGAAGCTTGAAGCCTCAGCCTCCATTTATTGTAATTGCATGGAAAAGTCTTTCTCCTTTTGTGTTCCACAATAAAGAAAGAAGTTCACATGGGTTGATGGCGTCACTGATGGCAAAACTTTTATTTTTTAGGTAAACTGTTACTTTGTTAATGGAAGAATTGAGGAGTATATGCTGAGAATTTCATGCTTTGAGGCTTGTTTAATCACTCTGTTTCTCGCTCTCTCTCTCTCTCTCTCTCTCTCTCTCTCGCTTTCTTTTTCCTCTTCATCCCTGTTCCTCCATCTCTCTTCTCCGTTTTATGCTCTCAGAGGCGGCAACGAAAAACAAAGTGAAAGGTGAGTTATCTTCTCTGTCTTTGCAGCTGGATGATTTATGTTGAACACAACTCCCAATAAACAATGTGCCGTTCGGCCTCCTCTTATCTCCCATAGGAGCCTGGGATGCATTTACATAGCCTCTGCCTGTGAGAAAGCAAACCTGGAACCTTTGATAAATTGGCCCTAGGAATACCCATTATGAGCTGAATCCGCTCTACATGCTTCCTGGGTTTACAACAAACTTGTGCTACATGGTTAGGAGAAAGATGTAGTTGTTGGATTTTGCACAGGTTATGGTCACCACTGCTGATGCATTGTACAGCTCGGGTGGAAGCATTTTGTCGTGGGGATGTGGCACAGGGTTAAATTCTCTAAATAGATGGCCAGTTTTGCATGTGGTATTTCAGCCTAAAATCCTGCGTCTTATTCACAAACCACCCACAATCCGGTTTAACCAGGTGCTAAATGCACCATAATAATGCTGCGGCATATTTAAATTAAGTTATTGTAATTTCATTCAGTGCAAACACGCCTCCTTTCAATAAATGCCTGTGAATTATGCTTATTATAGAAGGCACCTTGTTCACAAAACTCAGTGCTGTTTGCCTAAAGCAATTAACGTTGTGCTATTACCACCCACAGAAAGTAGGCAGCAAAATGGAATTTCATTTAAAAGAGTTTGCATACATTTTCTATTGATCATGGCAGCAGTTATTCATCCAATGATGGAGAAGAGCATATATCCAACTGTGAAGGTCAAATGCACTTTTTTAAAAGACAGATTCGGTTGTCTAGATCGCTATACAGGTTTGGTAAATTTTTCCAGATTGAGGTAGTCCGCTGTATCATCCACAGCCTAGCATTTAAATTTGCACTAAGCTTTGATTTCATGGTACGCTTGAGAGGATACCTGATTTTCATAATTTGATTAGTGAATTGGGCATTAAAACAAGGCAATTAAGTCTTTGAAGCATTAAAAGATATTTGTAGCATTCGTAATCTTTAAAAATCTAAAACAAAACTAATTTTCTTAATCTGATTAGTGAATTGGGCACTAAAACAAGTCAATTAAGTCTCTGTAGCATTAATAGAACTTTGTAGCATTCATAATCTTTACAAATCTAAAACATTTACATGAAGTTCATAGCAAATTAGAGTTGATGTCAATATCAGTCTATGTCAAGACAAATTGAGGCCCAGACCTACAGTAACTCATATATTCGAATCCAATGCATGGAACGGTAACAAAAAGCAATTGCAGTTACATTTAACTATTTATCAAGTTGGTGCTAAAGCAATGCATTGGCAGAATAATACTACAGAGTTCACGCAGATGAGTCTCTAAAGATTACTCTAACTCTCAGGTACTCAGGTTTAATGTTTAAGGTAAGTCAGGATTACCTGAATTACCTGTAGAGTGTGAAGCTGCAAAATGTACGATTTGCTGGTAGGCAAAGATTGAGCTGCAATAGTCTTGCAATGAAATGACTCTGGTCTAAATGAGGAGCTGAGTTTAGAGGGAGTCGAGGAAAGGCATTATTTTCCTTGAAATGGAATTGAATGATGCCCAGGCAGTTGTCGTAGTCTACAAAGGACAGCTGGTGTTCTAGGATGACAGCAAACAGCGCCTTGACCTTCAGCTGAGATTTGAGATCGTGAGAGGTTGGATGAGGGAACTCATCAGGGAAGTCTTAGCTTGGAGGTAGAGGAGCTCAGGGTTGTGGGTGGACATCCAGTTTGATATGTCAGAGTGGCATACAGAGATCCTTGGCATTTTGAGATTGTTGTCAGCACAGTGTTATGGAGTAACCAGAACATGAGACATGCGGATCCATGTGCAAAGCTTTTATTAAGAGGTGGTCATAAACGGGCATAGGTCAGACATAGGCAAACTGGTATGTAGAAGACAAACAGACAAGGCAAGACTAGGCTAGACTAAGAAACTTAAAGCAAGCTCCGTAACGTAGCTATCACAACTAGCGACCACCACAGCAGAGCAGACGGGACTGAAGATCCCCACGGCGGAGTAGAAGACCACCAGAGCCAGAAAGCAGACCACCACGGCGGAGCAGAAGACCACCAGAGCCAGACAGCAGACCACCAGAGCAGGGCAGAAGACCACCAGGCCGGAGCAGACAGAGCAGAAGACCACCAGGCCGGAGCAGATGGGACAGAAGCACACCAGGGCAGAGCAGACAGAGCAGAAGCCCACCACGGCGGGTCAGATTGATCAGGAGACCCTGGCAGAGACTGAGACCTAGGAAAAGCAGAGAAACGAGAGACAGGCAGTGCATTCATGGTAACAAGGATCAAGGCAGGGAACACGAAGTTCATTAAAGGTTTTCATGGCAGTGACAGACAGAGATGGGAATTCCTGAATGGCCCTTGTAGCTGCAGCAGAACAGTCAGTAAGTTTACAGACAGCATCTTCAGTTGTGACAGATAAGGCTGAGTTCAGAAACAACTTCTTTGACTGGATTGAGACAGGGCAATAGTTTGCAAATGGCCTCTTTGGCCAGTTCAGGATGAGACAATAGTTCGGAAACGGCCTCCATAAGCCATGACAGGATGGACAGAGTTCACAGACGACCTCCTTGGCCGGAACAGAACAGGCAGAGAGTTCACAGATGGCCTCCTTGGCCGGAACAGAACAGGCAAAGTGTTCACAGATGGCCTCCATAGCCGTGACAGGACAGGACGAGGATTCGCAGACGGCCTCCATAGCCGTGACAGCACAGGACGAGGATTCGCAGACGGCCTCCATAGCCGTGACAGCACAGGCAGCGAGTTCACAGACGGCCTTCATAGCCATTACAGGACTGTTAGAGAGTTCAGAGACGGCCTTCATAGCCGTGACAGGACAGGTAGCGAGTTCATAGATGGCCTCCTTGGCCAGAACAGAACAGGACGAGAGTTCATACGTGGATACCACTGACACCTCTAGAGGTTCTACAGTAGGACCATCAGGATACGGGGAGAGTTCAGTAATGGTTCCTTCGACTGTGACAAGACAGGCTGAATGTGCGTTGCTGGGTGCCACCACCGTGCAAGGAGCTGAGGTGAGCACCGCCACCTCGGGAGGTTCCTCTGGAGGAGCTAAAGCGGGCGCCATCGCCTCGGGGAACATGGCAGCGTGCGCCTCTACTTCGGAAGGATCTGCAGCATCAGCCGCCACCTCGGGAGACATCGCAGGGGCCGCCCCCCTCTCTAAAGTTTTAGTACTGGTGTATGCAGCACAAATACACCATAAAGCGATACCCATTGTGGGAAGCGCTACAGACAGGGGAAACAGTTCAGGAACT